GAACGTTATAAATTGAATATTCAAATAATTTCGACGTGCTTGTAGTTTCGTAAAAATGACTGAATTTGTGAATAGGGCCATCACGTATCACTGCCACTTTCTGTCGCCAAAATGGAGCACTAGTACAATAGTTATTAGTTTTTATTATCATATTTATACTTCTATTGATATTATTAAATTTATTTGTAACGCGCACAGCCTACCTACATTATTGATACCATTGCTTCTTCCAGTATAGGTTGCCAGGAAGAAATCGCTGTTAAGCGATAAGGCCGCCTATTGTGCAAATGTTTTTATGTTTGTAAGTTACTCTTTATTTATCTCTGTTATGTGTTGTACAATAAAGTGTTTTTATCTTATCTTACAACGTCATCCAGGATAAGTATAAAGCTCATTAGAGCGATCCGATGGCCGACCCGCACCTCTTGGTCTCGACCAATTAATATTATTTATATGGATTTCAATAGATATGCGTCCATCACATCAACTAACCGCGCACGTACGGAGAGGACCATTCGGTGATAAAGTGCCGTTCGCATATTTGTCTTGCGTTGACTGCGCATTGTCATTGCACGGGTCCGAATGACACGTACACCGTCCGCGTACATCTGGTGCGGAATGGTTTTAATGAGCTCAGTTCAATAGTGACCAAAGTAGAAGAAAAATCCAAATATAATAAGGAAATCATCATCATTTGCAAAAGACAAAATGTTCGATTTTTTTTTCCGCTGACTATTGCGCTAGTGCTGCCATCTACGCCGAATGTTTATTTCATATTATGAATCATTGACACATTCTATCATAGGATAGATATAAACTATAAGTATATCGGTGGCAAAGGCACTGCTTCTGTTATAATCTTTAAAAATATATATTTTAATGTGAATAAGAACAATTCGAAATTACACGAATATTCGTTTACAAATAATGGTGGCAATTCTGCTGGCATAAAATATACATAATTTGATTTTGGTCCTGTAACACTTTTACGTTTTAAATTATACAAGTTCTACCTCGAACTAAACTCAAATATTTGCTTATTAACTTAGATTGGGAACAATAAAATTAAATCAAACATGTATCGGAGTTTGGAAATGACGTTGACAACGCCCAGTGGTCGAAATTCGACCATAATAAATTTCAATTAGAAGTTATTACTGAAATCGAAAATCTTTTGACATTCAGTAAGACCACAGAAAACATCACAAACATATAAATAGACATCTATGATAATTATATAAAACTTGACACTGGCACAAACCGTGCGAAGCCAATATTCAAAAGAAACAAACAAATTCTATGTCAAAAGAAACAATTTGACCACAGAGTACATGTATGCGTGTAGCAAATACTTGTTTGTATGTGTCAAATGCATAGTAGTGTGTATAATGCTTTATTTATTGATTTATTGTACTTTTTAAGCATTATTATTGAAAAATATTAGCAGTTTACACTTCTCCTACATATAAACTATATATGCCAAAATTCATACTCCTCCGTCCTCGCAATTTTCGTAAAAAGTGGTCCAAAGTTTTTGTTTCACTTATTAATATATAGATAAATCAGAAAGTAAGCAGAAGTAGTTAATATTATTATTTTAGTATACATAACTATAATCATATCTCTGAGGTTACATGTGATAAAGAATAAAATAAGCAATATAGTTTTAAAAGTAGTGCAACATAATTACCACCATGTCACATGAAAAAGAAGCCTTTTTATCAATTAAAAACGAAACACCCAACTTTAATCTACATTCAATTATATAACTCTATGACCACATTTAAACGTCATTACCCTAATTTATTTTTGGACATTCCCTCATACTTCACGCAAAATATTTTTAAATATCATAAGAACTTTCGCTATGCTACATTGACTGTTTGTATGAGATTATTTATCATCTTCCTATGTTTCTAACTCAGACCAATGAGCAAGTAATTAAAAAATAAAAATTTGTTCTTGAAAGCAAACTAGATATACAACTTTCAAATTTATTTAAAATTTTTTTGATGTGCAAATTTAAGTTATTATGTTACGTCTAAAGGAACGATATGGTTGTTTGTATGTCAACACTAGTGATGAGCAAACACCTCGGTTGCTTGTAACTTGAATTGATTCGATTCATCGAATTCTGGTTTGGAAAGATCAACAAAAAGCAGATCTTTTTATGTGCTGATACCATATTTGCCATTATGCATCCATACATCCAATGATATTTATATTAATAAATAATTTTTAAAAATGTCAATATTGTTATCCAATAAATTGTGCTGCCATGCTGTGATATATATTTTTTAAATATTTTCTCATTGGTCTGAGGATTCTAACTGTATATGAATCAGAAATCAATGTGTAAAAATATTCTTAATAATAAAAAAAGGATAAAAACATGTGTGTCAAGCGTGCTAACATAGTTAGAAATTAAGAGATGATATAGACATATTGATTCATACATAAAAACCTAATGTTTATGTTTTTTAGAATTATATTTATTACATTAATTATAACTAGTATTGTACTCATAACCATTTGTGTGATAATGTGGTAATAATATGATCGGTGTCGTTTTAACAAAAAGGGAAAATTTAGTAATAATTTAATATTATGAAATTTCGAAAGATTCATTGAGTAATCAATTGTTAACAAGCTTTAATTGGTTAGATTTAGCAGGACCGCGCTCAAAGTCAAATTATTGATTTCCAATTCGTAGCTGTTGGCGCAAGTATATCGGAAGATCTGACGGAGCTACTTACGAGAGTATGGGGTAGAACGAAATCCTCTCTGAAGTGTACAAAAATAAGGCTGCATTGCGAAGTTAGAACGGTTATCGTTAACCATCAGGCATGATGTATCTAACCAGGGCCAAATGGCACAACTCATTATTTGCTTAAAGGGTACATTAACATCTTTCTTATTGTTAAAGTAAGTAAAGTAACCTTTAACGTCATTGAGTTCTGACGTTCTACGATCGAAGAGACGCGAAGCATATGCTACCAAATACACACCGACACTTACTTAATTTTTGAATACCCACTTTTGATGTTCCAATAATAATTCAAGAACAACGCAACGTTCCATAATTAAATTGAAATTACAGAATTTGACTTTTTCGTAGAATAAATTACCATATCCGATGGAAGACGCGTCGCGTTTTGTCGATCTCAGAAAGTCACAACCGACAAATTATATATCATTCGACCTTACGTACTCAATGGAAGAATACTTGCGCTCACACATCTTAACGCTAGACGATTTCCGCCAGTTTTGTACAGACTTAAGCATGGACTTTTGTCAGCAAAGGGTGGACAATAGGTTCTGCAACTGCACTGTATCCTTGAAATATAAAGAATACTTGGCTTTTCCTCAGAATACATATAACTCAATTATATTTTATAATTTATCTTAGAAATACTTAAAATAACCGTCTGAAGTACCATGATCGATGTTAATATTGTGCTCTGGTATGAAAATATTGCTTTTAACTCATTTTTTAACAAAAAAGATCAATTTTAATTTAAAAAAGAGATACTTAAAACGAGGAGAATCACTCACCATGCTTTATTACACTTTGTTGAAAAATTAAGACTTACCAATTTTTCCACTATTTATATAAAATTAGATATTATATTTAATTTAGAAAGGGTAATTGGTTTAATCTATATTTTCTGCAAATTAGCAAATAACGCTGGTTCCAAATATCTATATGTCACAGCCAACTGGTTAAAATAGCTGTCCAATTGGACGGCTAGCCCTTGAATTAAATGTCGCCATTAAGAGAATGAACACGACTGCACGTCGATCAACTAAGTAGCTAAACACAACGTTCAACAGTGCAGATGAACGAAGATTAGCCAACTAGTTAACTGATTAAGGTTTCCATAATAAGGTATTTGACTAATTTAGAAAAATCGTTTTTAAATTTTTCTTTATTTCATAATAAGCACATTACATTAATATTTCTTATTCTTAATTTGACTGTTAGGGGTGACAATAAATTTCATAAACAAATATTTGCAATATAAAATAAACAAACGAAAATAGAATCTTCCTTTGGCGTAGGTATGACAATATTATACTACATCATACGATTTAGAAAGTGTCATTTGTATATATGTATATCAGTGATTTTAAAATTTTAGAAATTTCAGCCTATTTGTGTAATGTACTGCTATCGGCACATAATTGCCGTCATCTGATTAAGATGGTTATTAAAATGTTGTTAAATTCAATAGCCAACGACTGTTGGGAAGGTCTACCGCGTGTTACAAAAATACCCGTTATAGCTGAAGGGTGATGTATAACAAAAAATGTCCTCTGTAAATTTTTCAAAACCTTTGCTTAATGCAATGCTTTTAATTTTGAGTAAAAATAATTATTTAAAAAAATTATTAAATATATCGAGTATGTTATTTCACATCACTATTTTAGGGTAATGATCTTACCAGGACTGGTAGCCCAGAAATTATTTTTAAACATTATCTAGGTATTTCATCCATTTATATCCAAGATAGCAAGTCAACTGAGTCAACTCGTCCTCAAATATTAAAGTCTTGGGAGAGATATGGCCTTACCACACCTTTTCTGGAAACATTTCTACTATTGTAGCATATGGGTCAGAATGATAGCAATATTTCAATAGATTTTTGAGTATGTAAAATATCAATTGAAAAAGTTAGATGTCTTATGGTAGGGCTGTTTTAAGCAGTTAGCTACAACATATATTTCGTTGAAATTGTCGCTTAAACCAATTAGCCATTTAACCCTCATTATAATGGCTCATAATACCTATTCATTTTTATAATTTAAACTATTATACATAAATAATTTTTAAACAAATATACTGACTATAATGGTTGAATACGACAATAGATACTAATATAATTCATGGCGATATTATTTTTTTAAACAAATATACATCAAGTTTATCTGTATTAATGAATTTAGATGAAGCAATACACCTAATAATACTTTTTCGAATTTAAAAGCAATTCTGACAGAGTGAATAGAAAATGAAACGCACTTGTGAAACACAAAATACTATCTCTCTATAACTTAGTTGCCTATTTAATTTACAGATTGATGAGTTTTGTAAATATTCTCATATTTAATGAGACCACTAAATGTTATCACAAATTTAAATACCCATCCATACAATAAAGGAAAAATTATAAAAAAAAAGTTAAGTATTTTACTTACTTCACTGTAATAATACCGCAAGGCGGAAAACAATATGTTACATTATTACGAAGCATGTGTTCAGTATATGATTTTACTTGGAGGCGCTGAAGAGTTCGTACTCATTGCCTGCTCCAATGTATCGAGACGTCGATACGCATGGCCACGACTGTTGCGACGACGACCGGGCTGTCTGCCTTCTACTATCAGACCAAGAAGCTAAAACACACAAAAAATAAAGCGTAACATAAAAATATTACTAATAACAATAACATTGTTGTAATATAATTAGAGTATTCTACATGTAGATGCTGGTGCCAAAATTGTTATCTCTAAAATAAATGACAACACAACTAAAACTCAATTTTTTTCTTTATAGAAAGTAATCTGTTTGATTCTCAATAAAAAAATCTAAGTATAATCCACACCAGGGGACTTTCATACAAATGACAGGTGACATTGTTCCAAATTATTTAACAGTTAACTGAAACGTTAACAGCGATGTAGCCAAGCAACCAAAAAAGGGCTTTAAAATTAATAAGTGTTGACTTCAATGAATATATATTCACGACAAGCGCCAAAGAAGAATTTAAAATTCTTGTAATTGTTACTTATTCTTATTGTCGATTATTATTGTTACTAAATTTTAGTTTTTCAGTGCCGCATATTTTTTTAGTTATATAATGATGTAAATTATCATATGAAAACTTTTTGAAAAATGTGAACATTCACTATTACGATTGTGATACCTGGTGTGTAATGTTGAAGTCTTACTCGTTAAGAGGGATCTACGGAAAGTATGCTATAAAGACAGTTTGATTAAAGAATAGCGACAATAAGAGAATATTGTAGATTATATGGCATTAATCCTAGTGATATTAAAACATTTTATTATTCATCAATTTTTTAAATTTGAATTTCTAAATGAAAAATACTGTTATCAACCTATATTTGTCAACATACTCACACAGTATGACAAAAAAATGGGAGAGTATGCTTTCCTTTCCCTACATTTGTACTTTACTATTATATTTGATCCACACTTAGGGCAGATTTAATATAATGATTTCAACTTAAAAACAAAAATATCAAGTAATAGAAAAATGTAGAATGTTTTATGTGACACATACCACTTTGCTTACTCTGTTTTTATTATGATACAAGATATACAGCAACACAACCATGATAATGGCCGTTAGGAAAAATGGGAAGAAATGATCGTCTTCCTCAGCAAAATCAGGAAGAGTGTTGGAAAATGTTTCTGAAAAAGAAAAACAATGAAATTTACATGACTATATACTATGAGATGATAAAATTTAAGTAAGACTATCTGTCTTATTATAGAACAAGCACTAACTTTGATATTCAGTTCAAACCATTATCCAACCAAAATAAGTCAGCACATCTCATCTTATTGTATTTCTTCTGTCATTATCAATTCCATTTAGGTAGCTAATGGTTTAAAGAAAATACTGACTTTAGTCTTCATTTTATTGTAAAAAGATGCATATTTTATATACATAGCGACCCGTGTAACCGGTTTCTTTCTGAAACCTATAGCAGGCAGCAGCTTTTCACACTGGAGTAAGGTATAGTCCTAATCATAGCATATTAAAAAAAACAGACTGTACAACCTTGTGTGAAAGGAAATAAATAAATAATATTATTATTATTATTATTCCTGTGGCACGGGTTTAGCTAAAATAGGTAATACCTGTAATGCTTACAGATATAACAGACAAAAATAAGAATTTATTTGTTGTTATGTATGATGTAATGTTATATTTTCTTTATCTATAATATTTTTTTATACCATTTCGACATTGCTATAAAACTCACAAAATTATTTAAGTAAAACAATAATTATAATTTTATATGCAATGAATGATGTTGTTGCTATACATTTGTACAAACTGAACAAACACTGAAAGAAAGCTGAATATTAAAAGTTCAGACAATGATCCACTAATTGATAATATGATTTTATCTAATAAAATCTCTTTATGGTATTAACCCTGTTGTTATAACCATAAACAGATTTTATGTTGGTATCCGGGCGAAGCCGCTGGCGAAAGCTAGTTAGTAATAGAATTTATGAACTTATAACTCTAATGATTTAATTAATAATATTGAAAACATAGTACCTACCTTTGGGAAGAATATCACTATTGTCAATAGCTACTTGCTCATTTATTTTCGTATTTTTTTTATTTATAACCTCTTCTAATTTTGTATCCAACAGGTCATCAGGATCATCATCACCATGAGTGTCACCAAGACCATCCCTTACTTCTTCAGAATCTGAAAAGGCAAATGTTAATTTATAAACTTTAATATTTTAATACTACTACAAACACATTTTTTAAAACAATATTGTTTGTTTTGTTTAAGCACATAAAATTATAATAGTTATAAGTTCATAGTGTTTTTATTTAACTATATACTTTCTTAAGTTAAACTCAACATTGCATTAGTCATAAGTTCAAGTCCCATCTCAGAGTGCCAGGAATAAAGTGGATTTTTTTAAGCATTTTTCTTTTATATTATTTTTCTGTATAGCATTGTGAATGTGAAATGGATCAAATATAATAATTAGAACAAATTTACATCTTTATCAAAAGTTAATGACCTCCATAGACAAGTGGTCACATGCTGCTTTCAAGGTGATGCCATCTTTGATGTCCCGGGCTCGATTTCCGGTTGTTAAATATAGAAAACGAACTTATTTATAATGTCTCTGGTCTGGGTGTTGTGGTACCTTAGTTTTCTCAGATACTCCATAATACAGGGCTTTAGCTACTTATCTTAGAATCTGAGTAATGTATGTGATATTTTAAAAATTTCTTTTGACTGTTTGGGTAGATTACCTGAACTGATTGGGTAGATTGATGAAAATACACTCTGTAGTAGTGAAAAAGTAACAAGTATTTGATAAATAAGTCAGACCTGTACAGTCCTAGGTAGATAAGTGATTAGAGCAGTTGCCCGGATTGCAAAAGGTCATACCTGTCCCATGTGAGAGTGCCAGGGACAAAGTAGATTTCTAACAATTTTTCATTTATATATCTGTATTATTTTTAATTGAATAACACTTGATAGGGGGACAAAAGAATCAATTTTTTCAGGTCAAAGTCAAAAAGTAACAAAAAACAGGTATAATTGATAAACTTTGTATGAATTTATCATTTCTTGGACATATCATTGAATAATTAACACAATGTAATAATTATCTAATTCAACTGTTATTACTTACCAATATCGTTTGGTGGATAATCATCAGATTCTCCATTGGCAATAGGAGGTCTGTTTCCAATTTGATTCAAAACATCTTGATTTGTAGCATCTTTACTAACCTGTGCTATCTTATTTTTGTTTTCGTTTGGAATAACAGTACTTGTTGTTTTTTCTTTCTGAACTATATCTTTAGCATCAATAGGTGGCTTGAAATTCATAAGAGTTCCTGTATTTATCTGAGAAATTGATTCTTTATCTTGTGGTTTAGTATTTGTATCGCTGGCGTCTGGTAATTCATTGTGCTTTTCAGAAACACTTTCTTCTTTATTAGTGGAAACCACAATTGCTGTATTCACTTTATTTGCAGTTTCAGTTATAACAGATGCACTATTATCAGTAGCATTAGACTGAATATTGACTACATTCGGACCTTCTTGTTTCATTTGTATATCTTTGGCTGTTTCAAGACCAGTTCCTGGATTTGTATCAGTTTTATTTTTTATAGCAATATTATCTACATTAGTAACTTGTGGTATAACAGCAGTATTATCATGCGATTTGGTACTCAATTGAGATTTTAACACATCAGATCCCCATTTGAAATATTTACAGTAGAATGTAGAGTCAACACTTAGTAAATTATCACTGGTGAGAATACAAAATTTAAAGCACTTAACTGGGTCGTGAAATACAACGTTGACGGTTTTGTTATAAACAACACCAATATCTGTGAATTTCCAATCTTTAGCTGTGTCACATAGTTGTGATACATCTTGCTCTTCAAGTATTTTAGAAGTGTAATCTTCATTAAGGGCTAGATTAGACGAGGCAACAGCTTCACAAAGTTGTCTGTTTATGTCGTAAAACAATAAACATTCTATTTGTTTCTTCTGATATGGAGGTACACCCACTTCACAATCCTTAAGTTTGTTTTTCATTTGAGTTGCCAAAAACGGACTCTTGCAACTTTTTGCAAGTTCATTTAGAGACATAGAAAGCACAATAGTTTTAGCGGGAGCTCCCCAGATACCGGAGTAACAATTGATTAACAACAGGGTAACAACAATGAAACGAAACATTGTTGCAATCTCGTATTTATGCGATAATTTTAGAAAATAATAAAAAATTTAGTCAGAAACACAATCCGTGTCAGTTTTAATCACAAACAAAGACAGAATGTTCATTGATCGTAGAATCCCTTATACTAGCTGTAGATATGATTACATGAAACTAAATAAACCATGAAAAAATTTAGTAAATTTTCCTCTATGACATGACATGAGCAGACATGAGAAAGACGAGACGTCAGTCAGTTTTTGACAGTTGGTTTTTTTTAAGCAAAGATCTAGCTCATACAGCCTAATACAAATTAAGCATAATTTTTACTTTATAATGTTATTCGTTTGACCAAATGATCGAAATATCATGCTATTTCACATAAGTATAATTCACTGTATCCAATGGGTCATTTGAAAAAACATTTAACAGATATCAATAAGAAATTGAAAAAGAGGGGTCCTGCTTAGAATATTCTATTAATATTAGGTCCTTACATATGAAATTGACGTTTTGTCGTACTAGCCACTTTAATCACAAATTTGTCCTCCTTGTAGTAGGGGAGCCCACGATGCTAAATCGGGATTTACTCGAGCGTCATAGAGACCTATTAGGTTGCGAAGCTTAGATGATAACAAAAAAAAAATTTCATATAATATATACCTTTTCATCGGTGCATGCATTGTCCTATGCATTTTTAAAAACTGTCGTATGTTAATCTGATCGTTTTCATGATGGGGGTGGTTATACGTAAGGGTTGAAAATGAAAAAAAAAATTAATCGAGCGCGTCAGATTTTTTGAGGGGATGTCAAGTAAATCTAAAAAAAGCTCTCATATAATAATCTGATGATTTGGATGTAACGCAAACGCGTGACCATTATTAGAATGTGCAAAAAAAAACGCCATTTTGAAATCCTCAAGCGCGTCAGATTAAGATATATATGGTTCATCTTTATGCCCCAGACGTGATATCTCATAATCTGACGATTATCTGAAGGGATTTACTTAAGCTGACAATTAAATTTTTTCTTTTTTTTTTCAAATCATTGAGCTTAATCAAATAGAAAAGCGCCGGAGTTAGCATGCAAATAAAAAAGTGTATGTTTTTTTTATGTAGAATACTTATATTTATAAGAAAATGATTATATGAAAATTTAATTTTTACAGTCTATTTTATTAATTATAATCTTCATCGCTAGTATCATCTTCTTCTTCTTCTCTTAGTAAATATGTAAAAAGTTTAATTCACAAATTTTACATTAAAATAACAAAATAAGCAAAAACTTTGGAAATACGATGTAAACAATATCACGCCACGAACGAGTCTGTGTCATCAGCTGTCATAGCGTTATGGCAACCTATTCTATCTATTCTATTCTATTGGTATCACGTAGCTGCACGCTTTTAATCTTATCGATGAATTTTTATTACTTCGGCTTGTGAAAATCGTCAGATTATATATTTTTCGTAATCCCTGAATGATTCCCTTCAAAATAAAAAAAAAATAGCCACGCTCGAGAATGTCAAAGTGACGTTTTTTTTATAACTTTGTAGCCTTCCCCCTTCTTTACGTCACTCTCAAATTGTCAGATTAGAGGTATGTACACCTTTTAGCATGTAACTAGCTCACCTTACCTTAATCTGACGCGCTCGAGATTTTCAGATGATCAATTTTTTTTACTAATCTGATCCTTCGTCTTTGCCGGGCGGCCATTTTTATAGGGCTCATACTTGGTCCAGGTACTTAATTGGGTACAAGGTATCCCCCTGTATATTAATCTGCCGCGCTTTAGTAAATCCCCAAATCCCCGCTTGGGCTCCCCTACTATTGGTTGAGAATTCCAAATTCAAATTTATACAGCCATTTACACATGTATTTGTGTTTCGTTAGGCGACATTCATTTGTTTTTCTTTTCTTCTGTTTGTCCTATTTACGTCACCCAGTATAAAAAATAGAAAACTTGAAATATCGTGTTATTTACGAGTACGAGTTCCACCGTAGTATCAGTGCTGCGGAAACGGCTCAAAGGTTTAATGATGTGTATGTCGGTTGTGTCGCAAAAGAGAACACAGTGTGTTTTGGTTCCAAAGTTTTTTATTCTGGAAATTTAGACCTGCAGAACAAGCCCTGTGGACGGCCAGAGACCCAAGTTAATAATGAATAATTTAAGGCTATTGTAAATCACGTCTGAGTAAGCTGCAGACTGTGGTGTTAGTGACAAAACTGTTTTATTCCACTTGAAGCAAATTGGAAAGATTAAAAAGCTTGAAAGGTGGGTACCTCACGAATTGAGTGAAGCAAACCGGCAAACGTGCTTAGACTGCTACGTTACATTACTTAACCGGCACAATAATGAAGGGTTTTTAAATCAAATAATTACCTGTGATGAAAAGTGTATTCTCTACGATAATCGGAAGCATTCATCGCAATGGTTAGACCCTGGCATGACAGCTAACCTTTGACGTATCAAAGGTAGTGCAAGTGTACCTAGGAAAATTATTATTACTACTACCGTAGTAGTAGTAAGTAATGATAATTTTCCTAGCTACTGACTCGAATACCTGGAATACAGGTTTCAAGTCAAATATTATTTTAAGTTTACTAAGTTTTTAATTATACACGACATAAAAAATAATATAATATAGTAAACTAATAATTTACCATGCAAATGAAATGAATACTCGGGTACGTTGGAAAAATGACGTAGCCGTACCAGAACCAAGAAATCCAAATACATCATCTTTGCTTTAAGAAGTGAAGCAACTATGCTGCCGTGAAATTAGGCAATGACATCTTACAACAAACTAACTGTGAAATAAGTGGTAAGTGGTAAATAAGTGGTATTTATTTCATCATACATTAGATCGAATACTGGTTAATGAGCCAAAATTCAGTTCAAATTTTTGTTTATCAGTATCTTGAAATCTAAATGCTTGTGGCATTCAACACTGGGAAACGGCTAGCAGCAGCAAGATAATGTGTCTCTACAACCTCAAAATGGAATCAGGGAAACATTGTTAATGCACCGTGATTTCCCACCAAACAATGAAATTCACTACATTCACACGGCTGCACTTTGGGTACCAATACTATACTATACTAACTATACTATGTCAAATTTCTTCAAGTGATTTTGTCCCTGGCCCTTTGGGATCCTGTTAGGTCCTGGGTAACTCAGTAATTAGAGCAGTCAGCAGTCGCCCGGATTGCGAAAGGGTTCGAGTCCCATCTCCGAAAGCCAGGGATAAAGTGAATTTTAAAGCATTTTTCCTTAAGAATGTTTTTCAGTATAGCATTGAGAATGCAAAATTGATCAAATATAATAATTAAACAAGAGTCAAAATATGATATGAATATTAAAGACAAGTGCCGTAACCATGGGTAAATAGAATAGAAAGTTGGAGCGTGTCAGTCAAATAATTTGGAAATAAGTAGTTGGAGTAAGTATCATGGCACATGTTTAAGTCACAAGATGTGAACCGAAGATTTATCTGGCCGGGTATTCTTAAAAAGTGTCTGAAGTATAGAATCTATCAGTAATAATTTACTCTCTTGCACATTTATGGTTAAAGTTAAAATTTTAATAATTATGGAATTAAAAGTGAAAAATATATAGTATTTTTATATATATATATATATATATATGGAAATATATTCCGCATACTATTGGGTTATATTTTGGAACCAAAGCAAAGAAAGATGTTTTATAGAAAAACCTTTTATTAAAATTACAACGCAACCACATTTATTCACAAGACGCCATCTTATATATTCGAACACAGTTCTCGAAGATTCCATAGACTCCTAAAGTTAAACCATAAACTATATTTACTTTTACAGTGATGTTCGCATTGCTTTCCAACACCCTTCCTTAATGTGAACATCACTCAATCAAAAAAAATCTTTTTATGAAAATAACATTTCTCTTAATTTAACAAAAACATTTCTACTTAGATCCTTAGTACAAATATCAGCAATCTGTTCACTGGATGGTACATACCTTAAACATACAATTTTGTTTTCAACCTTTTGTCTTACAAAATGATACTTAATATCAATATGTTTGAGTCGCTTGTGATATTCTGGGTTCTTGGCAACATGAATTGCAGACTGATTATCAATATTAATAATAAAACTTTTAGAATGAACTCCTATTTCTTTTAATACATTAATTATCCAACAACCCTCTGCAATACCTCTTGCTAATGCAACATATTCTGATTCTGTACTTGATAAAGATATACACTGTTGCTTGTTGGACGACCAAGACACTGTATTACCAAACACTTTCATGACATACCCTGATGTAGATTTTCTATCATTTTGATCTCCTGCCCAATCAGCATCTGTATATCCTTCTAACTGTACATTTACACCTTTTTTATAAATTAATTTTAATGCTAATATTCCCTTAATATACCTTAAGACTCTTTTTAATGCTTTCCATAAGCTCTCGTTACCACAACTTTGGAAACGACTCAAGTAGCTCAATGCATAACATAGATCAGGACGTGTCCCCAACATAGCATACATTAGAGATCCTATTAACTGTCTGCATCTTTTAATTAATTCTTTATTTGAAGGCTCTTCTTTATGTATTACTAAGCCTTGTTCTATGGGTGTTGACACAGATTTACATTCTTCCATATTATACTTCTTTAATAGATCTTTTAAGTACTGCTCTTGGTCCAATTCAATGAAATCTTTCTTCTTAATGATATTTATGCCTAGATATTTTAGATTATTGCTCCCTAAGTCTTTCATTTCAAATTTTCTCTGCAATGCTTCTTTTAATCTGTTAATCTCTTGCTTGTCTTCACAAATTAAAATTAAATCATCAACATATAGTAGAACATAGAACTTCTTATTCATTTTATAATATAAACAGTAATCGCATTGGCTTCTTATAAACTCTTCCTTAATCATAAATTGATTAAACTTTTCATTCCAATATCTTGGAGATTTCTTTAGGCCATATAGAGAATGTTGCAATTTTAATACTTTACCATCTTTTTTCATTCCTTTTGGCTTTTCCATAAACACCTCCTCCTCTATGTTTTCATATAAAAATGCACTCTTGACATCCATCTGTTCAATATCCAGATTGTATTTACTTGCTATTGCTAATAATATACGCAGTGTAGATAATTTAACCACTGGAGAATATATTTCTGAATGGTCAAATTTATCTTCTTGCTTAAAGCCTCTCGCAACTAGTCTTGCTTTGTAAAT